CCGTCGTCGTCGTGGTAGTGGTAGTGGTAGTGGTAGTGGTAGTGGTAGTGGTAGTGGTAGTGCTAGTGGTAGTGCTAGTGCTAGTGCTAGTGCTAGTGCTAGTGCTAGTGCTAGTGCTAGTGGTAGTGGTAGTGGTAGTGGTAGTGGTAGTGGTAGTGGTGGTAGTAGTAGTAGTAGTAGTAGTAGCCTGAGGAGGAGTAGGAGTAGGAGTAGTAGTAGTAGTAGTAGTAGTAGTAGTAGTAGAAGTAGTAGTAGTAGTAGTAGTAGTAGTAGTAGTAGTAACAGCAGTAGTAGTAGTACTAGTAGTAGTAGTAGTAGTAGTAGTAGTAGTAGTAACAGCAGTAGTAGTAGTAGTAGTAGTAGTAGTAGTAGTAGTAGAGTAGTAGTAGAGCAGTAGTAGTCGCCGTGTTGGTGGTGGTAGCAGGAGAAGCAGTAGCAGTAGTAGTCGCAGAAGCCGACAGTAGCAGTAGCAGCAGCAGTGGCAGTAGCAGTGGCTGTAGCTGTAGCTGTAGCAGCAGTAGTAGTAGTAGTAGTAGTAGTAGTAGCAGCACAGTCACAGTCGTCTTTAGTGGTCGTCCTCGCAGTCGTAGTGGTTTTGTCGTGGTGGTGGTAGTAGTTAGTAGTAGTACTAGTTGTTGGTGTCGTAGTAGACGATTGTGTGGTTGTACAACAGCACAATAGTACAATGGTACAACAGTATAACAGCATAATGGTACAACCGCAGAATACTACACAAGTATAACAGTATGCGACTATCATGGCAGACTCGCATACAAGCATGTCAGTATAATAGTAAACTAAAGTTCACTAGCAGAGTAGTGCAAATGTGTAAATAGTACAATGGTACGACAGTACAGATATAATGGTACCACGGTGCAATGGTACAATGGTCTCGCAGTCAAACACTGGTAGAACAGTATAATAGTATAGTCGTGTAGTAGTATAGTCGGAAGTATGAGAGGTGGCAGTATAACAGTACATTGCTAGAGTAGCAACATAATAGTAGCGACAGCAATAGAAGTACCAATAGTGCGAGTACTAACCATAGCAATAGCAACAAGGATAGGAAAAGGAACAGAAGTAGCAGTACTTATAAGAGAACCATGAAACTCTAAACCCCTAAGCGCAAATCGCTGCACACTAAACCCTAAACCCGAACACTCTAAGCCCCAAAACCCGTGAGCCGTGATCCTTAACCCTACCCCAAAACCTAAACCTGAAGCCTCTTAAGACCCGACACGTCCGAAGGAGCGCCTCCGAAGAGAAGTGGAGGAAGAGCTCCGCCTTGAGGAGGCGTTTGTGTTTTTTTGTTCAGGGTTTATTTCGGGTCTAGGATGTAGTTTAGTTTTTCACGAAATGAAGGATCGCTTCGTTTAGGAGTCGGGATCCTGCCTGAGGCCTTTCGGTTTAGGGTTTGGGGTGTGGCTTGAAGGCGTAGGTTTTGGGGCTGCATTGGTAGCAGCGTCTGCAGGCTCCTGCTTGCCAAAGGCATGCCCGGCAAGTACTTGTGAAACGGTAAGAACATCTGAATGTTTGGCACCACCCGCAGAAAGCCAGCAAAGCCAAGCAAACGCGTTCATAACATGTTCGCGAAGCTTCTGCAAAATCCTGAAGGAAGACCCGCTGGAAGTGTTCAAGCTCGGTGCCGGGTAACATACAGTGCGATGAAGCTTTCTGGTGCATTTCTGCATGCGCGTGTTAGTCCTTTCCCGTTTTATTACCACTCTGATGACAGTGGTTGTGAGGGTTGTCTTTGAACACCCCCACCGCCCCGAACCCAACTCCCGCCGCCATCGAATGCTTTGCAGACGCGGGAGTCAGGCACGGCGCACGGCCGGGCCAAGCCATCGGCCCAAGTGGCGGCCGGAGTTCTTTCCGGAGGCCACGGCTTAAGGCTTAGAGTTCAGCGTTTACCGGTAGATGGTTTCAGGGCTTGAGTTTACAGGTTTAAGATTCGCAGCGTTTTCGTCGCACACCCATTGGTGCGACATCTTGGGGCCATGTTTCAAGCGTTTCTTGTAGGATTTCGGGGCTGCAGCCTTCCAGCAGATCCCCCAGATTTCCAACCAAGGATCCTGCACCCTGTGAATTTGACCCCAAGTCACGCAAACTGCGGACCCGAATCCTAAACTCTCAAACTTAGATTAGCCCGAGACGCTGACCCTGGCCTCCATACACCGTCGCACCTTCCAGTGGTCTTTGGACTCCGCACTGGCCCCCTTCGCTCTTCAGGCTTTAGGGAGTTTGGGGAGTTCGGGGGTTTGCATGTGGGGCCGTGGGGGCTTGGGGGTTTAAGGACTAGACTCCCAGCGGAGAGAATGGGAGCCAACCCCCACCCGAACCTGAAGGTAAAACTTCTGAAACTCTAAACTCGAAGCCTCTAAGCTTAGTCCGAGACCGAAAAACCTAAACCCAAACCCCGCACGTTCTTCCGTCGACGTTTTTATGCCTCATCTGTCCAGGTCCATCTCGACGAAGGCCCAAGGACGAAGGGGGCTCGGATACGCAAGAAGCGGCGAACAGAAACCTGCCGGGAGGTCATTCAGTGTTTTGGGGGGTTTAGGGCTGTAGGCTTTACGGTTTAGAGTTTTGGATTAGGGGTTGTGGGTTCAGGGATGAAATGGGGTGCAGCGGTTCTCAGCTGCTTCGAGTGGTCTGCTACTCTTTCTCAGATTCTCGAACGTCCCTTTCGAGTGATTTCCCTCTGTTTCTCCAAGCATCTTCTCTCTTTCGAACGGATTCTCAACCTTCCCAAAATCTTTACGCTCTCAAAATGTATAACCAATGTATAACCTCTTTCTTTCAAATTCTCCAGTCTCTTTCTTGAGCTGTGCTCCCGGATGTCAGTTTGTCGATTCTTTTTCAAGAGTTTGCGCTTGTTTGCAGGTTCTCTGATCTTCGTCGAGCGGCTTGCAAATGTTGCTCAACTTTCCTTGTACCTTTCGACAGGTTTGCTCCTCTTTCTCAAATCCTCCTGTTTGTTCAGTACTTCAGCCCTTTTCGAGCTTTGTCTCCACCTTCTCAAAATTGTTCATCGCTTTCGAGCTGCTTGCTTCTGTTTCTCGACTTGCCTAACCCCCTTCGACTGGTCTGCCCGGCTTTCTCAACCTCTCTTGTTGGTGAAATTGTTCAGTCCCTTTCGAGCGCGTTGCTTCTATTTCTCAAATTCTGTCGTCTATTTGGACTGGTTTGCCCCTCTTTCCAAACTCTTGGCAGTTAACTTCTCTAGTCTCTTTAGAGCTTCGCTAGTCCTTGTCAATTTCTCTGACCATGTTCACGCACCTTGCTCCTGTTTCTCAGGTTCTCTAATCTCTGTCTAGCGGATTGCGACTGTTTCTCAAACTGGCGCTGCTAGTCTCTCTTGACCTATTCGCTCCTCTTTCTAACACATCTCTCTTCGTCAAATTCTCGTCTCGTTCAAACGGTTTGCTCCTGATTTGACAAACAGGAGCACACCAGATCACACCAGTCTGGAGGGACTAGAAAATTTTAAGAAACAGGACCAGGAGCACACCGCTAATGAAACTGGAGACTTCAACAAAGAGGAGAAACGGGAGTGAACCAGTCGAAAGGCGTTTTTAACTTTGAGAAACAGGAGCAAACGGCATGAAACAGACAGGCGCAGTTTCGGGAAGAGGGCAAAACAGTCCAAAGGGCAACGGTCAAAATTGTTGACGTTACCTGACATGTGTCTAAACGTAGGACCTCTGACAAGAAGCTGACGAAGAGGACAGTTTGAGAAAGAGAAGCAACGCAGTCGAAAAGGGAGCAGGAATTTTGAGAACCAGCAGTAAGCCGCTCGAAAGATCTGAGAAATGCAAGGCTTGTAGCCCCGTACATACGAAAGGTTCAGTTCAGGCGCTGTTCTTTTACTTCATCCAGTCAGCCGCCAGACCTCAGATCGAAACTCTAGGTGGTTAATCTGGTTTAGGCACCTCGAGCAGATTGTCGAGGTTGGGCGTCAATAAGGTCCGTCGCAGACCGTGACCGTAAATGCCCAAACTGTGGGCCCTAATCTCTAAACCCTTTATGATGTACTTGCGGCTTCAGCTGGCGAGTTTGAGGGGCCCAAACCCACAAACCCAAACCCTCCACTAAACCAGAAGCTGTCTTCAGGGCCCTGGACCCTCAAATCTGAATCCTTAGCCCCGAATCATGGATGAGGAGGATGTAGCAGCAATGTAGCAGTTGGATAAGGCCCACAACCCTGAAGCCCAGGCCTAGATCCCCTTATGTCCCGCTCAGACAATGCAAAGACACCAAGCGAAGACAAAGCACCTCCTTATTGACGAAACATTCAACCACACAAGCCCTTAACCTTCACACCGCTAGGAAAAGCCTCCCTTCAAACCCTCAGTTCTAAACCCGAAGCTTCAATAACCTAAACCTCCTGACCTCTACACCACACCCCGTAAACTCCAAACCCGGAGCCAAAGCTTGAGCCATTTGCCGGAGCGCGTGAGCATTGCATGGTCACAATGGCGCTCCTGGCAGAGCTGAAGGCACGGGCTGTGTTTGGATAGGGGTGCAGGGTCGAGCGACTTGTGTGTTTTCAATCCATGGTTGCTGCGCAATTTCAATTGCAGTCACTCTCCGCCCGAAATCCCAGCGTCTGGGGTTGCTGAGAGTGCTGTGCTAGGTTTTGAACCCTCAAGGAACCTTGGGGTTTCAGGATCATAGTCCCACAGCTTTAATTTTGTAGTAGTGTTGGGATACAGTAGGTCAGTAGGTGAGATGCTGGCAAGAGTCACAACCTCTAACCTGCTCAGTGCTCTACATTATCCTGTTCCTTATTTCTGAAACTCCCACACTGACATGCTAAAGGATGCTTACCCTACCCAGACACCTCTCGTCTGACATGCTATGCTACAGCAGCCCCTGCAACCCAAACCCCAAACTCTAAACTCTAATCCTTTAAAATCCGGAGCCCTAAGCCATGCAAGACAAGACATGAATGGTGAAAACGCAAAGCCCAGCACTCCGAGCCTGATCCCCCAACAGGGTCTAGTGTCTTTATAGGGTCGTACAGGGTTTCATGGGGGTTTAGGTTCTGTAAGAGTGCTACGAAGTTTTTGTGGATGCTTATCGTGATTTAGTGTTCTGTCAGGGCCCGTATACGCTTGCATAGAGGTTTAGGGGGTTTCTGTAAAGGATTTGATAAAGGGATCCGGAGAGCCGAGCCTTCCAGATGCTAGGCTTCTGCAAGCCTTGTCAATGAAGCCCGCAAACTACAGGAGCATTTTAAGCCCCCTACATTGTCCTGTAGCACCCCGGCAACCCCCCCTTGAAAGACTTTCTTAAACGCCTTAGAAATCTTAACGCCTTTAGAAAACCTTATCACACAACCCTTTTGTGTTCCCCCTTTCCGCCCAATCGCCACTAGGCGCAGCAGGCTCTGTCGGGTGCAGGCACAGTGGCGCAGCTTAATTTCTGGGCTAGGGTGTAAGGTTTTGGTGAGTAGCTAAAATTAAAGGGTATGTGTCTTCGTCTTGCGGTGTCTTTGCGGTTTCCCGTCGCCGGCTGGTCTTCACATTACTGCGCAGAAATCTTAACATCAAGACAATGAGTGGTACTGTGCCCGAAATATATGCCCAACATCAACCGTGTTCAGCAATCTTGTAGATCACCTTCAAGCCTTGTTAAGCCCTAGCCGGCCGTGCTTTCGGACTGCGGTACTTGATATTGGTATGGTTGGCGTCGAGTTTCCGAGAACCCAGTCGGAGAGATGCTTGATGTAATTTCAGAGATGCTTCTGTAGAGTGAAAGCAGGCGCACTATTGTGTGGCCACACTAGTGCTAGTGCTAGTGCTGGTGCTAGTTCCAGTGCTAGTGCTAGCGCTAGCGGCGGTGGGGGTGGTAGTGGCAGTGACTGGTAGTGGTAGTGCTCGTGGTAGGACGAGGACTCAGAGGAGAAGGAGGAGGAGGAGGAGGAGCGGGCAGTAAACTTCGGAGGGCCATTGCAATTATGAAACTTCAAGACAGAGTGCAGAAGCATCTGAACCGGCCCAAGCTTAAGCTGCAAACCCCAAATCATAGCCCCGGAGCTTCACAAAACACTTCACATTTTCATGCTTGCTTGCACAGATTACCCGAGCGTCTATCTGCTGGAGCGATTCCGGTACCAGAGCTTGAACCAGGACCGACCCTAGCCGTTGGTTTGTAAACATCTAAATTTTTTCGTTATGAGATTGTGCATGTATGTTTGGCTCGGCTTCTTTGTGAGTTCCCTCGCTTTGGATGCCAGGAGATTCCAGTCCAGGCAATCAGACTGTTTGTCTAGGTCTTACAGTCTGACAAGCTTCGGTTGTGCAGTCAAGGGTCTTGGAATTTGCGGCCCAAGGGTAGTGGGTCGGAAGGTCTACAGATAAGTAGCTTGAGCTGCTGAGCTTGACTAAAGGTTCAAAGAGTCACGAAAGCTCCAATGCACACGGAACTCGGCTGTCAACAAACTTGCCCCTAATAGGCCATAAAGCTTGGATCGACGCCGTGACCAAAACTTAGAACCCAAACACCTAAAACCTAAGTTCCTGACGCAGGCCTTCTACGTGAACCCGCAGATTCTGGTCTGCTGCCTGGCGGCATGTGGCGCCAGCTCTGGGTGGCACTCTTCATGGTTACTTCAGATCTGCGGGTGTTGGTTTTTCCTGACTACCAGAAGTTATCGGCTTGTGGTGTTGAGAGGTTTAAAAATAAACAGCCTTCCAAAGCTCCAACTTCAGGGCCCTGGAGAGTCACACCAAGGATTGGAGTCGTCACATCGAATCTGAAGGAGGGAATGAGTGCAGTTGAACCAAAAGCCGTGAAGGGGGAGCTAAGCGCAAATGCAACATCAAGAGCGACTTCAAGCATAGTTTAGAGACATCCCGAGCTCTGCAGCCCGGCATATACATGGGTTCTTACTATTACTAATCTATGAATCATGGTTTGGGCTTACGATTTCGCTTGATGACTTGGGAATTTTCGTTTTTCAGTTCATCATTTAATGAGAAGATATGAAAACTTATGAACAATGTCTGCTTTGCTTGTGGAAAGAGTGAAAATGAAAGTTTCATATAACTGTGAATGCAAAGAATCGGTATGTTCTCATAAGTTTTTTATATCTGCGTGCAGAGAGTCACCACCCCAGCATCACATTTTTCATAACTGGACACACCGATTTTGCAACTACATTCTCCGGGGTCGGGATGTGTCAAGCATCGATACCATCGTCGTCGTCATCATCATCATCACCATCATCACATCATAACCACCCTCACCACCCTCACCAACCCCACCACCCCCCACCCGCCGCATGCGGAATTCATGGACCGGTACATACAGCTCACAGCCCTTTTAGATGCCTGGTGAATCTGAGGCCGATATCCCACCTATTGGGACAAAGACGGCAACCACTTCATGTGCCTCGGAAGGGCCCTAAACGCAAATCCTAATCCTAAGGTGGACCTCGGCCTGCACAAATCAAGCATGCAAGTCTTCTAAGGATTTCGGGCGATTGAGGAGGCAGGGTTTTGGGTTTCGGGTTCGGAATTTTGTTTGGGGTTCGAGGATGGAGCCTCAGGAAGCAGATTTCATAAGTAGCAAAGACCAGTCATGAGAGCATACATGGCAGTAGTAGTTTTGTGTGTGACAGTTGCACTTGCAGGAACTTTAGTAGTATGAGCCCAGGGGTGCGTGAAGGGCTTAGCGAGCGCTCAGGATCTTCCAGACGTCTACCTTCAGCCGCAGCCACGAGACCTCCAACATACCCTCAACGCTACATAAACCTTTATAAGCCCGAAACCCCAAACTCCAAAGTCCACTGGCGGCTGAGCTGGCTTGTTCTCCAAGGTACTTCCAGGAGGAGGACCCCACACCGATGGCTGTTCCTGCACCCCTGTAATCCCGAAATCCAGCGACGGTGTTTGGGGTTCAGGTGATTGAGCCCGAACCCCAAACCCTGGTACTTGAGGCGAGGCCGTTGGGGTTTGGCAACTGATTGTTTCTAGCTTGGGGGGGGGGGGGGGGGGGGTGAGCTTTGGATTCGGAAGGCCAAAAAAAGCGAAGTTCCACAGCCTGCTCCCATTGGCGTTCTAATTAGGGACAGTGTCTGAGCCGTAAGAAACGTTTCCTTGGGTTTCTGGCGGCACGGTTTCTTTGTAGAGCTCTTTGGGTGTCTTTTTGTTGTTTCGTTGGCTTTGGTAGCCGAGAGACCCGAGCTGGCTTCTTCGTCCGTGGCTCCGAAGCTTTCGCGTCCCTAAANNNNAAACCCCTAAACCCCAAACCCACACCCAGCAAGCCTCCATCCCAAATCCCCAAGACCTACCAGCAGATCATAAGCAGTGGGTTTCGGCTGTAGGTTCATGCACAACCCTTTACCGCCTTAACCCCTTGGAAGCCGTCAAATTCCTCATGCATGCAGATGAACTCATTGGAAGAACAAATAAGCTTTGCAGCAGGCTTTCCTTAGTCAGGTGCCCTTATCCGCCAAAGCCTCGAAGTAAAACTTAATGATTTCAGGATCGCATGCTGTAGGCTTGGCAATTTCAGGTTTAAGGCTGAGCTTACCTCAGAGGCAGGAGCGTCTATATACCTCAGCGATAAAAGCCCAAACCGATGCATCTCTCCTCCCGACGTGATGCTTGTGGTGGAGGCCCAGCCCCGGTCTCAGCTTCTCAGGAGTTGCAGGACGTGGGACGGTTTGCGGTTCAGGGCTTCGTGTGTGGATCCGAAGCTCCAGAAGCAGAGAGACCTCAGCTTGATGAGCCGCACAGATTCTCATGCCCTGGGACACCTCTGACTGCACCGTGGTTCCTGAAGTACCTACTTGGGTCCCTTCTTCCTACTCTTCTATGATCTTATTTGCGAATGTGTTCAGTGGGCCTAAACGGCCAACCTGGTTAGGGCAGAGAGAAATGGGTGGCAGTGTGGGATAATTTGTTGGTGTCCATGGTCTTCTTATGAACGAACGACACTTATAAAGGGTTGTCGGGTTCAGGGTGGTTTCAGCTCGAGTGAATTGCGGGGCTGAGGGGGTAGTTTGGGAGGTAGGATGCAAGGAAATCAGGCATTCGAAGAACGCAACAAGCAAGCCTTTGAGGCGATGCAGTTTTGTTGGTGTCGCTGTTGCCGAGACATCTTGAACCCTGCGTTTTGAAACCCTGAGCCCTTAAACCACGACGACGGCCTCTAAACTCGACCATTTCGTCACTCTCAGGCAGCGGCAGATTGCGAAGGCGATCCAGTCTGCTGGCAAGCGCCGAGACTGGGAGGAGGCGTGGGAGCCTGTCCTTCCCGCAACCAGACCGCTTGAAACCATTTGCGGACCCTCGGTTTAGACTTCGAAACAGCGGGAAACGAGCCTAAGAGCTCCAAAACAAGATCAGAAAGTAGCTGAGAAAGATCCCAAAGACTTGAAGGGCCAAAGTCTCAACGTGAGGCCGTGAACCATCTGCGAGAGGCCAGTGTGCGAAACGTACCTCTGCGACCCGGCGACACACGAAGGTAGCAAGGGGGTCTAGGTCTAAGACTCTTGGGACTCTTGGGTTTTAGGGTTTAATCAATTGCGTTTCAGTTTGCCTTTGGCTGTAGTTTTAGGGTTGCATTCGGAAACGTGCCTGGGCCGCCAGGAGTTCATTCAGGTGCAAGGCAAGGCATTCACAAAATGCTGATCTTCAGGGTTAGGATCCGGGTTTTTGGGAGCGCAGGAAGACATGGACGTCTAGTATAGTCCTTTAAAATGCGTAGGACTTGGGGGAGTCTTTGAGTCCCTAGCTCCGACATTCCCTAACCTTTAAACCTCTAAAGCCTTCAACGCCCGTGATACCCCGTAACACCCCTAAATCACCGAAAAGAACATTAAGACCCTCAGCATTTCGGGCTTCCTATTCCTGATCCCTGGACTTCTCTGAGAGCTTTTTCGGGCCCGGAGCTTCAAAGTTTCGGGTTTGAAGGTATACTTTATAGCAAGACGAGTTATGGACTTGGCAGAACGACAGGGGACAGACATATCACTGATATTACTGGATTGGGAAAGATGTTTAGACAAGATTGATCAATGCCGCTTAGTAGAAACCATGAGTAGATTATCAATTCATGAAAATAGCATCAGAACAACAAGAAACATATATCGAGAAGCCAAGTTCCTTGTCGTAACAGGGGAAAACAACTCAGGTTTTCATGAGCAGAACTCCGGAATCCGACAAGGATGCCCTTTGTCACCCTATCTGTTTTGTATCATTATGACGGCTATCTTCCATGACATAAAGTCGGTTTTAAACACGTCAAAGCAAAAGGAACCTATCCCGGGACTGCATTATTTCTTATATGCGGATGACACCTTCATCTTTGGTACCCAGACGCACTTAACAAACAAGCTCCTGCACCAAATCCGACAAGAGTCACAAACATACAACATGAAATTAAATCTGGACAAACGTGTTAACCTTACACTGAATCAGAACGAGTCCTCAGTTACATACATGAATGGAAATAAAGTGCAGATAATCATAAAGAAGTTTTGACAAACAAATGCGGAAGCTAATAACACAGCAAACCAACTTGAGATTCTTTGGTCAACAGCTCGCATTTCGAAAAGATGGAAACTGACAGTTTTTTTACGCAGTGGTCATGAATAAGTTGTTGTATGGCCTAGAAACTATGCAGTTACCAAAATCAGATCGGGATCGAATAGATGCATTTCAAATGAAGATGTTGCGACGAGTGTTGAATGTACCTCCTACCCATATCGATAGGGAGTGGACCAATCGGAAGGTAATAGACGAACTACACTTACGAGCCCAATATTAGCAAGTTAAGTTGTCAGACAAATCGAAGCAGCGTAAAATCACCTTACTAGGCCACATCTTGAGGGCTCCTTTGGACGACCCGATGAAACAAATACTATTTGAGCAAGGCACGGATAGTCCGCGCATTGAACACACTCGTAGAGTCGGCAAGTCAAGAGCCAACTGGTTTGTTGAAACATGCAAAGATGCCTATACAGTATTTGATCCCTACACCAAGTTTGATGAGCAAAACATCGCACAGATTAGAGTTTTGGGAACCAGAGCAAACCGCGAAGCTCCTTTCAACTAAGATGGGTCATTATGTTAACGCCATCAAACATGTCATCGAATACTTCAATTCAGCGGCAGTGCGGTGCCGGCATCACCTTCAGTTTGAAAGCCGATGTGGTCATTGACCTAGGGGCTTATGACTTTCCTTTTCACAGCTAGGATCTGCTTTTCCTTACGTGCTGGGCAAGGCTCGGCCTCGGACAGGCAGCGTGCAGAGAGAGAAAGAGAGGGTATAGGAGTCCAGGGCCTTGGGGTTCCAGGGCTTAGTGTTGAGAGTTGAGGTTTAGGCTGCCCGGCTGCCCAACATCCTGTCCGCATCCTGTCAAGACAAAACTAGGCCCCAAACCGAGAGCCCGTACCTCGAACTATGTTGTGCCATCAAAGGAACCCAATCATCTGCAATGCGGCCATCAGCCGGGCGTCTCAGAGTTGTCACCCGTGGTTGCAGCTTTGAGCCAGAGATTACGGTATGCCCGTTGTTGCAAAGGTTCATGGTACTTCCGGAGATAGTGTATAGTTTAGGACTCGAGCCTTTGTAGGGTCTTTCGAGCGACTGTTGCAGGATTTTGGGGATGCCTGGCCTCCGCTACAGGGCCGTGTAGAATCGTGTACATGCAGAAGTTGCTTTGTATTGTGGTTGCTAGTGGTTAGCACCCTTGTTGTAAGGAAGTCTTGGTTCTATTGGAGTACTTACTGCACAGGAAACCTTCTAGAAGACCTGCCACCCATGGTTTTGAAAACCCTAGTCCGGCAAGCGTAACACCCCCCAACAGACTTAACTACTTAACTTAACTCCTAATTCTGAAGCCCAAACCTGGAAGCTGCACCCCAAACCCTAAACCACGGTGGACGCGGCTCTTGCCGAAGCTGCGCAAATCTTTCTTTTCAGGCCTTGTTCTCCAAACCACCTGTTGTCATAGACTATTCTTGTTGTGGGCTTCTCAAGGCAGTCATAGCCGTTTCTGTTCACAAGCATAGTCTCAATATAGGGCTTAGGGTACGGACTTAAGTCCCCACTCCTGAACCCTAGACGGCAGAAAGTCGAGCCCCATACTATCGCAATGCTTCTTCTTGCTGATGTTCCTATGCAAGAGTCACCACAAGTAAACCATCATATGCGGAGCCCCAAACCCGAAAACCCCGTTCACCCAGAGCTCACGGTGGCCACCGGCCTTTGCTTCACCGACTCTGAAGGCGCGTGCGCCCGTTCGGACTGTTGGCTGCAGGCTCTCAGCTTGGCCTTGCTGTGTGCTACTCCACTGGAGTCGGTCTTCACACCTAGCAAAACCGAAAAGAAGGGTAACAGTGCGTGCATGTTTGTGTGTGCATAAACAGATAAATGCGGAATAACATGACTAAGAAAATAATTGCAGATGTACATATATATATATATATACATATATATATATATATGTGCACATATACATAGAAATGTGTATGCATATATGCACACACACATATATATATGTACACATATTTATGTGTATATATATATATGTATGCATGCATGCATGTATGTCTGTATGTATGTATGTCTCTATCTACATATGTCTGTCTGTACATGTGCCTGTCTGTCTGTCTGTCCGTCTGTCTGGCTGTCGGTCTGTTTGTGTATGCATATGTATACATGCATATGTATATGTATATGCATATATACATGCGCATGTATATGTGTATATATATATA